GAGAACTTGACTATTAAACTGACGGCTGTATAGAGTGAAAAGCAAGAGGCGGAACAGGCCTTTCCTTCTCAGGAAGCACTTTGCTGGCTCAGCAGGACTTCCCAGCCTGCACGCTGGTCTCCCTTCTCCTGTCTGCCTCGCTGGGGAGTGGAGGCGAGGAGGCTGAAGGGTGTGGGGGCTGAGGAGCGGGCACCTTGCTGGGACAGCCTCTGGATGGTGAGCAGCACCCCTCTCCCCCTTCCCTGGGGCCGGAAGAGGAGTCTATTCGGGCTTTGGCTTTCAGTGGGCCAGGTGAATTACCCGAAAGTGGCAGACAGCTCTTCTTTCGATGAAGACAGCAGCGATGCCTTATCCCCTGAGCAGCCTGCCAGCCAGGAGTCCCAGGGCTCAGTGCCATCACCCCTGGAAGCCCGAGTCAGCGAGCCACTGCCCAGTGCCACCTCTATATCCCCCACTCAGGTGAGCTGACCTGCTCAACACGCTTCCCCTGCTCCTCGGGGCCCCAGACTTGCTGAGCTGCCCAGTTCGAGGTCCCTCACTTGGACTAGGCGACACAGGGAAGTGGGAGGGGTGTTTCCCTGGGAGCTCAAGGGCTGGCTGCTTGAGGGAAGGGAGGTGTCGGCAGTGGATGCAATTTGTTAGCCTTCCTGGTCCACCCGTGTCCACTCATTCAGTTTTGTGATCTTTTCACCACCCTCTGTCTCTCCCTTTTCTAGTTCTCTTTGCCCCCTGACAGTAATGGTGTTCAAGGAAGTGGCTGCCACCCACCTCCAGGCAGGGCAGGGCAGGGCTGGGATACACTGCCACCTGGGATGGCCCCGCCCTCTGGAGCAGCCAGAAAGGGAGGCATCCTCACTTCCCCTTCTCTCTCAGGTTGTGTCTCAACTCCCAGTGGGCCCAGAGTCCAGAGAAACGCTTTTCCTGGCAGAGCAGCCTCCTCTGCCTCCCAGCCTCACCAACGGAACCACGGTCCCCACCGCCAAGCCCACCCCCACGCTCATTAAGGTACAATTCTCCGGCTTGTACCCTGTGCCCCTCCTAGCCCTGCTCAGACTTCATCCCAGGGTAGGGACAGCTGCAGGGGGTCAGGGCTCAGCAAAGCGCTGAGGAATGTGGGAGTGCTTCCTGTTCTCGGGGATGCTGACTGTCAGGGTTACAGCCCCTGTTTACGGAGCACGGTGTGCCAGGCACTGGGCTGGGCTTTCAGGCCTGTAGCCCTGCCCTCCCTGTGGAAACATGCCCACCGTCCCCTCTGGGTCACTGACAGCCTCGAGAGGCGGTGAGGAACCCTGTTCTGCAAGCGACACAACTGAGAAGTGCAGATGGACCCTCGGTCACTCCTCTGGCAGTGCCGGGCGTAGGCTTCTATTCTTGGTCAAGGCCTGACCTGAAATACCTGCAGGGGCGGTTGGGTTTACCGTCAACCCCACAAGACACCTACTGGGGACCTTGCGTGGGGGACACTGTGCTGAGCACCAAGAGCCGCTGCCCAGTCCTCCCTCCCTCAGAGCCTCCGCCTTAGAGTCTCTGAGACCAGAAGCTGTGCTCCTGCTGGGCAGGTGCCCTTCCTTCCCGGCCCTACCTGCTTCCCTGTCTCCCTCATTCTCTAGCCCCCCTGGCACACAGGCCCTGGCCCAGCTGGGCGTCTCTGGTCATCCTTGGTCCTCTGCTCCTGTCACTCATAGCTGGAGGCTGACCAGGTGCACGTTCTCTCCCCTTAGCTGAGTTCCTGCTGTGCCTGCTGCCCTCCTGTGTGGGCTGTGCCCCAGCCCGTTTCCATGGTCTCTGTGAGGCCTCCCCTAGTCCCAGAGGAAGCACCAGCGCCTGGGCCTGGTCACGGGTGCTCCAGAGCGCTTGCTGGCTCCGGGCTGCTCCCTCATCACAGGCACTTCTCTTGTCTCTGTGGTCTATTCCTGATTGGCCACAGATGTCAAAGGTTTTCCCCCAAAAATTCCTCCTTCAGACTTGCTTCTCGTCATATGACGGGTGCCTTCCTTTGACCACCACACATTTGAAAGAATGTGTATGTGTTTGTCTACACTTCCTCTCCTCTAGGGAGAGCCCCCAGACTCGCCAGTGAGCCCTCCTCAAGGCTTCCTAATTCCCCCGGCCCCCTCTGCCTCTGCCCCCCACGGGTCGTGCTCCTCTCTCCTCTTGCTTTTCCTGCCCTCCCTCTGCGGCTGCTCTTCCCTTGGCTTTTCCTCCTCTTCCCTCTCAATGGGGTGCCCCAGGCCCAGCTCCCAGCCTCCATCCTTAGTCCCTTTCGGCCCCACCCTTCTGAAGCCGCTCTGGGTCTTCCTCCCCATGTTCCCACCCGCCCATCTTCACGCACCCAGTTGCTCTGCCAGCTTTGCCATCTTCTCTTTCTATGCTCCATAGCAGCAGTTCTCAACCTGTGTGTCGCGACCCCTTTGGGGGTCGAACGACCCTTTCATAGGGGTCGCCTAAGACCATCGGAAAACACATATAATTACATATTGTTTTTGTGATTAATCACTATGCTTTCATTATGTTCAATTTGTAACAATGAAATTGGGGGTCACCACAACATGAGGAACTGTATTAAAGGGTCGCGGCATTAGGAAGGTTAAGAACTGCTCCATAGCAAACCCAGAACCTCTACCTGACTCCCATGAAGGGACCACCATTGTCACAGTTGCCAAAGCTCAAAGCCATAAACCCCTGAACTGCTTACCTGCCTCATGCTCCTTTTGTCCCCTCTTCCTCTAGTCCGTCTACCCAAACCTTCCTATTGGCTCCCACTGCCACCTGGTTGAGACCCCTGCTGATCCCGCAACGTCTCCACCCTTCTGTCTAACACTCTCCACTCAAAGGCCACTAGGCCCACCACAGCCTTGCCTGCATGCCCTGCTGGCTCCGCCCTGTCCAGCTCCACCCTTCCTGACCCATCACAGGCCTCAGCAGGACCTGCTGGCCCTTCCTGGTCTGCTGGGTCCTCATGGACACTCACGTGGGAGGCTCTGTGCCTGCTGGGGTCTTGGAGGCCCATTTGGTGAAGAAACAGTTTTTGGAGTCCCAGCTTCGCGCGGTGAGATCAAGATCACTGCGACCATGGGAAGGGACTTCACAGGCTGTTTCCTCATCTTCACATGGACTTGCTGGTTCCTGCCCAGGCAGGATGCTTGCAGGTCTGCACGACCTGGTCTTTGTGAAGTACCTGGTGTGGATGGCACACACTCCAAAAACAGCTGTTCTACTTTCTTGTCCTGTTCCCTCTGCTGGGGGTGACGGTGACTATATTTTTTGGTTGATTTTCCCTCCAGCCTAGAAGCAGCTCCCTCTGTCAGCCCTTGCCCCTCCTTGGGACACTCTGGGCACTGATTTTGGAGGGAGAGAGTGGGACTGGGCAGGAGGCCTCCTCAGAAGCCACTCCGTTATAATAGGGCGGCCACCAGCCTCCCACTTGGGGGCCTCCCTCTGGAAGCCCAGGAGGCCTCCTCAGAAGCCACTCCGTTATAATAGGGCGGCCACCAGCCTCCCACTTGGGGGCCTCCCTCTGGAAGCCCAGGAGGCCTCCTCAGAAGCCACTCCGTTATAATAGGGCGGCCACCAGCCTCCCACTTGGGGGCCTCCCTCTGGAAGCCCAGGAGGCCCCCTGACGGCCCCTGTCTCCTGTGCCCTCAGCAAAGCCAACCCAAGTCTGCCAGCGAGAAGTCGCAGCGCAGCAAGAAAGCCAAGGAGCTGAAGCCAAAGGTGAAGAAGCTCAAGTATCACCAGTACATCCCCCCGGACCAAAAGCAGGACAAGGGGGCGCCCCCCATGGACTCCTCCTACGCCAAGATCCTGCAGCAGCAGCAGCTGTTCCTCCAGCTGCAGATCCTCAACCAGCAGCAGCAGCAGCACTATAACTACCAGACCATCTTGCCGGCCCCCCCAAAGTAGGAGCCCCCTCCCACTCCTGCCCATCCCACCCGTGGGCACCCCAAGATAGGCAGATGCCCGGTCTCGGGTGGGTGAGCCCCAGCCTTCAAGGATCCTTTGGTCTGGATCCTGCAGGAATGGCCCCACACCATCTCCACCCAGCCCTGGGGTGGAGGGCCTTGGTGGGTGCTCATTTCTGCCTTATCTTTTCCTCAGGCCGGCAGGTGAGGCTCTGGGAAGCGGCGGGGCCCCCCCGATGCGCAGCCTTTCCACTACCAGTACCAGTCCCAGCTCGGGCACCCCTGGGCCCAGTGGGCTGGCACGTCAAAACAGCACCTCTCTGACTGGCAAGCTGGGAGCCCTGCCCGCCAACCTGGACGACATGAAGGTAGGTGGTCACCCCAAAGTTAGGGAAAGCCGCCAGCCCAGGGCCCACGCTCATGGCAGGCAGAGCAGAGCTCCAACCTCAGGTCTGCTCCGGCAGAGGCACCTGGAATCTGTTCAAGGCCTGCTTGGCTCTGGTCGAGACACCAGCCTTGTCGCGGGTCATGACCACGAACGGCATCAGCCAGCACCTGTCCAGGGCCTGGGGCTCACTCAGCCTTTGTGTGTCTCTCCTCTTCCTCGACCTCTTTGGTGCAGCGTGGGAAACGGGGAGTATTCCCCGCTGAGGATGAGCTAGCAGAGGTGGCTCAGGATGGAGGTCTGGCTGGTGGCAGAGCCCGGATTCAGACTCGGGGCTGCCCACTCCAGCACCTCCACCCTTTCCACTCTGCATTTAACCCCTCCCCTACCTGCTGGGCCAGTGCTGAGCCACCTGGGAAGGGAGTGGGGACCTTGGAGGGGCAGGTCCTGTTTGGGGCCTGGCCTGTTTTCTGTGCCTGATCAGCACATACGGTGGATCGAATTCTCCTCCGAGACTTTGCCCCCTGAACCAAGCAGGCCCCTCCTGAGCAGGCCTGCTTGCAGCAAGTCACAGGCCTCGTGGGGGCATTTGGGCACAGGCTTCAGAGCCCATCAGACCTGGCCATAGCTCCTAACTCTGCCGCTCGTTAGCTCTGTGATCTCGAAGAAATTGTTTTTCTTTGGTGAGCTCAGTTTTCTCATCTGTAGAATCCAGTCACTTCATTAAATATGTATTGAGCACCAGCATCATGCTGGGGCTGGAGATAGCTGAGGGCACGTGCCACCCAGACGCGGGGTAGGGAGCATTTTAACCAGGCCCCTGGGGTGGTGAGGACGGAAAAAGGGAGGAGGCTGGGGGCATGTGTCTCACCCTCAGGACTGTGGGAGGGTCAGACGGTTGATGTATAGTTACTGACCAATGAGGCCTGAATAGACGAGGCCTAACAGACAAAAAGCTTGTCCCTCCCATCCTTCCCTGGTGCCCTCTTTCCTGGACCCAGTTCCCTTCATCCCCTGCTGCCCTGACTCTCCATCCCCTTGCAGGTGGCAGAGCTGAAGCAGGAGCTGAAGTTGCGGTCACTGCCCGTCTCTGGCACCAAGACAGACCTGATTGAGCGCCTGCGTGCCTACCAAGAACAAGTCAGCCCTGCCCCAGGAGCCCCCAAGGTCCCTGCTGCCACCTCTATCCTGCCCAAGGCTGGCGAGGTGGTGGTAGCCTTCCCGGCGGCCCGGCTAAGCACGGGGCCTGCTCTGGTGGCAGCAGGCCTGGCCCCAGCCGAGGTGGTAGTGGCTACGGTGACCAGCAATGGAGTGGTGAAATTTGGCAGCACGGGCTCCACACCCCCCGTGTCTCCCACTCCCTCAGAGCGTTCACTGCTTAGCACGGGAGATGAGAACTCCACACCTGGGGACACCTTTGGCGAGATGGTGACATCACCACTGACCCAGCTCACCCTGCAGACTTCGCCACTGCAGATCCTTGTGAAGGAGGAGGGTCCCCGCGCCGGGCCCTGCTGCGTGAGCCCGGGGGTGCGGGCAGAGCTGGAGGGGCGCGACAAGGACCAGATGCTGCAGGAAAAGGACAAGCAGATCGAGGAGCTGACCCGCATGCTCCGGCAGAAGCAGCAGCTGGTGGAGTGGCTCAGGCTGCAGCTGGAGCAGGAGAAGCGGGCCCAGCAGCAAGCACCACCCCCACCCCTGCCCCTCATGGCGTCCCAGTGAAGCAAGAAAACAGCTTCTCCAGCTGCCAGTTGAGCCAGCCATCCCTGGGCCCTGCTCATCCCTTCAGTCCCAGCCTGGCGGCCCCCACTCCCCACCACGTAGACACTTGTGCCCTGGTGCCTTCTCCGGTGGTGGTGAAGCAGGAAGCCGTGCTGCCTGAGCCGGAGCCGGCCCCCACGCCCCAGCTGCTTCTGGGCCCACAGGGCCCCAGCCTCATCAAAGGGGTGACGCCTCCCACCGTCATCACTGACTCCGCAGGGACCCACCTTGTCCTCACCGTGACCAATAAGAATGCAGACAGCCCTGGCCTGGCCAGTGGGAGCCCTCAGCAGGTACCTGGGTGTGGGAGGGCAGGGGACACAGGAGTGTGTGATGGTACTTCTAATGATAGCCTGTTTACTAGGCGCCCCCCTGGCGGGGCAGTTATGCTGGCTTCCTTTAATCTTCCCTTCAACCCTCCTTCCCCATGTCACCAAGAAGGTACTAAGATCTGGGATGGTTAAGGGACCTGCCCATGACCCCACACCCATGAGGGTGGAGCCGTCAGTGACTGCCCATCTCCTCGGGCCATTGCTACCAGAACATCCTGCACCCAGGCTAGGGCCCACTCTTGCCTCTGCTCCATGGGAGTGGGACAGGGCCCCAGGTGAGGGTCAGGGAGGGGCTGCTGGGCTGGGCCTGCGGTGACCTTCACTCCTCTTCCCCACTCAGGCCAGCTGTCCCACCAAGGTGCCATTGGCAGCTGACTCCCTGCTGCTGCCACCTTCACAGCCCAGAGCCGTCACCCAGCCTGCTGTAGGCTTTGTGTGGCCTCAGCCCTGCAGAACAGGGTGGAGGGGACAGTGACAGGAACCAGGCACCTCAGGATGGGAGACAAGGCTCTGAGACAGAAAGGGAGGAATTAGCCCAGAGCGCCCCCTCCCTCCCATGTGGCTTGCACCAAACTCCATGCTCACCCCACCCTCTGCAGGATCAGAGGTCAGGACCTCCCCCAACCCTTACTCCTTCTTCCCCAACGGCTTTCATGAAAGCTTCCCGAAAGCCAGTGCAGCTGACCCGCATTGCGGGCTGGCCTAGACGGTAGGCGCCTCCTGCCTGTGCTCCTTGACTGTGCAGATCCCTGGGCTGTTTCCCTCACACCAATCACTGCTCCTCTCCCATTCTGTCCAGCCCTTGTCCCAGCCTGGTTCTCCAGCCCCTGTCCCAGCAGCCCAGATGGACCTGGAGCACCTGCCACAGCCCCCATTTGGGACCTCCACGTCTCTGCCAAAGAAGGAGCCGCCTGGCTATGAGGAAGCCGTGAACCAGCAGCCCAGACAGCAGGTGAAGAAGGTAGACTGAGGCCTGGCCACATTGGGCGGTACCTAGGCTGCTGGGCTCCCGCAATTCCCCCGAGTCCAGCTGGAGGATAGGGGTAGGCAGGAGCCAGTCTTGTGAGGTCAGAGGCCTGAGGGAGGGGGCCATTCTGGTCTGGCTGCCGGCTCAGGGGCAGAGGGGAAGAAGGCCTATCTATACCTTGAGCCTGGCTGGGGGCCTCCTGTTGTAGATTTTCATCTTTTTTTTTTCTTATTTTTCTATCATAGGAAAATGGTTCCTCGAGCCAACAGATGGATGACCTGTTTGACATTCTTATTCAGAGTGGAGGTAAGGCCCCGAGCTGCCTCCCCAACCTCCTCCTTTCTCCATAGGTTGTCTCCAGCCCTCAGTGGGTTGATCGATTGTGTTTTTGTACTTTAGATGCAGCAAGGGCTGAGATGTATGCTCTCCAGGGGCTAGGGGAGGGGGTGTAGCAACACACGTTCGCTTTACCCAGCACCCACTGCCTGGCAGGCACTGTCCCTGCAGCCCTGGGACATAGCAATGAGCAAAATAGTGAATACCTTTTTGTGAGAGATAAACGACAAAACAAGTAAATTATATCATGTTAGAGAAGTGCTATGAAGAGGGAAGAGAGGTCTGAGGTGCACGGTGGGTGGTTGGTGAACAGGTGCAGAAGTCAGGGCAGGGACAGATCACAAGGCCTCCTGGGTGCAGGGTAGAGGAGCTTTGACTCTGACGCCAGAACCACACATCTTGGAGGAGTGTTCAGGTGTAAGGGCAGGAGCCAGGAGTGATCCAGGCCAGAGGCCAGGGACGAGGCTTGGGAGGCAGTGAAGCGGAGAAGGCTGGAGCCTGGGTATATTTTGGAGTGCCAGTGTGTCTTCCTTATGGATTAGGAAGGATGACACCAAGGGTTTCAGCCTGAGTCACTAGGATGCAGCTGTGTGACTGCGGGGGAGCTCCGGTGGGGTGTGGGGGGGGACATATAAGGTGCAGCCTCAGCTGGGCTTAGATTATGTCCCCAAAACTGGAGGAATCAATGTGGACACCACCCAGGTGAGGTCAGGGCTGGAGGCAGTAATTTGGGAGAGTTGTTGGTGTCTAGATTGGCAGTGAAGAGGCTGGGTGAACAGAAAGAACGAGATGGAGTTGGGGACACAAGCAGATGAGGCTGGGCAGTGAGCCACTTCTGAAGCCAAGGGCTGCTGATGGGCGGTCAGGGAAGACGGGGACCTCAGCCAGAGTGTTACAGTGGGACCGGGGGCAAGTGCCTTCTAAGTGGGTTGAAGGTGTGGGAAGCAGCAGGTCTGGAGGAGTCTGCGCACAGGGATTTCATGGGTGGCAGCAGGCACGAGGCAGAGTGTGGAATTTCTCTTTCAGCTGCTTAATTACGTCAATAGGAAGAGGATTAAGATGGGAAGGTAAAGTGGAGCCCAGCCATGGAATTGTACACTTTAAAATGGTCAATTTTATGTCAACATTTTATTAAAAAAAAAAAAAAGCTCAAAAGCTGACATTACTTTCAAGGTCACTGATTCTGATCTTAGGGAGACTCCCTGGATGCCAGGGTCTGCAGTGGGGCCTCAGGGCAAGTAGCACGGAGGCTCCTGGGCAGTTGGAGAGGCCTGGGTGTGAACCTCAGAGGAACTGAAACTGGAGGGATGAGGCTGTCCAAGAACAGAAGAGAGATTGTGCAGGAAGCGGAAAGGGAGCAGGCCTTGAGCTCCAGCCTCGAGAGATGGCAGAGAAAAAGGAGGGGAGTGCTGAGAAGTGGCCAGAGAGAAGGTGGCAAGGATGCCAGGAGAAGAGGGCATTTGAATCAGATGGGTAGAGTGGCAGCATCCTCAGTGGTGGCATTTGGGCAGGTTGACAAGCTACCTCAGAGGGAGCTGGTCATGTGGTCAGAGCAGTGTGTCAGGCTGGGACAGGAGCAGAGTGGGTGGGAAGATAGGACCTAGGTCAGGGAGCAAGCCTGGTTTCTGCATAATTTTGATTTATTATGGTAAAATACACAAGATTTGCCATTTAACCACTTTGAATGTACAATTTAGTGGCATTAAGTACATTCAGTGTTGTGCAACCATCACCACTGTTCTAGAACTTCTTCATCCTATACTGACACGCGCTTACCCATTTCACAGTAACCTGCCCTCCTCCCCCCAGTTCCTGGTAACCTTTGTCCTATTCTGTCTCCATGATGTTGACTCCCCTAGGCACCTCACATAAGTGGAATCATACAGTCTTTGTCCCCGTTGGTTCTGTCCTCAAGATTCATACACATAGCATGTGCAGAATTCCCTTTTTATGGCTGAATACTTCCATCAAATGGGTGTATCACATTGTGTTGATCCATTCTCCGCTGATGGACACCCAGGTTGTTTCCACCTCTTGGTTACTCTGCATAATGCTGCTGTGCACATGGGTGTACAGATCTGTCCCTGCGCGCTTTTCACTTATTTTGGGTGTATCCCCAGAAGTGGGGTTGTTGGATCATAAAGTTTTTGATATTTACCTTTTTGAGGAACCACAAAACTTTTCCATAGCAGCTGCACCTTTCATGCATACCAGCAGTGGACAGGGTTCAGATTTCTCCGTATCACTAATATGTATATTCTTCTTTATTGCCACCCAGTGGATAAGTGGTACCTCATTGTGGTTTTGATTTGTATTTCCCTGATGACTAGTGATGTCAAGCATTTTTTCATGTGCCTGTAGGCCATTTGTGTACCTTCTATTGGAGAAATTTTGAGTCCTCTGCCATTTTCAGTTGGGTTTTGTTGTGGATATGAATCACTTATCAGATAGATGATCTGTAAATATTTCCTCCCAATTCCATGGGTTATCTTTTCAGTCTCTTGATAGTCCTTTGATGTACAAATTTTAAATTTTGTACAAATTTGTACAATTTTACTGTAGTCCAGTTTTCTTCTAAGAATTTGGTATTTTTAGCTCCTGAATTTAGATCTTGGACCCATTTTGAGTTAATTTTTATACATACACAGTATAAGGTAGAGTCCAACTTTAGGTCCTATTGAGGCCTGGTTTCTGACATCCTTTCACTTTCTTGATTGGTAGAAATTTCAGCAGATTTCAAGGAGCCACCATCTCTGCCAGGGAA